TTTTTTTTTTTTTTTTTTTTTTTTTTTTTTTTCAACGCTATAGGAAATGTTACAAGATACTGTGCAATAAATTCCAATTCCAACTATAAGAAAACAAGACCTGTTTGGGGAGAAACGGATTCTTCAGACTGTCAATACAACACGAGTGAATACATCATCACCAAGGTAAAAAAAAATGAACAACCAATTGTTTCATTCGTAACAATCAAACGCAACACAAACGTCGAAAAAATACCTTCATAAGGCATGCACTTTCTGAAAGCATTAGTGAAGCATCTCGGAACTAAAGTATGTGTCTTTTTTTTGTTTTTGTTGTTGTTGTTGCTATTATTGTTGTTGTTGTTGTTGTCGTTGTTGTTGTTGTCGTAAAGACCGCCGGCTCCCTGTGTCAAAGTCTAACACGTCAGCGCGTGCCCTATTAAACATTTAGCAATTGAATTCCAAGATCGATGAAATAAAAAGATGCATGAAGATGAAGAACCTCGATAGTTCCTGCAGGAATACAACCAACGTTCTTATTGATAACCTTCATAAACAATCCAGGAAAGAGATGAAGAGCCAAGACCTCATAACGGCTGTCTATGCTATCGATGTCATCGCTGCTATGGGCAAACATAAAAACTTTATGGACAAGAAAAACGGTGAAAAGATTGTTAGCACGACTAGCAACTTGCTTGAACCAAGAAACTCTAAATCTTGGCAGCAATTACGAGAGGTATACTTTATTAGCTTGGTCGCGTTTCAAAGAGCGTGTTAAGAATTTAACTGTATGTACCAGTTTCTTGCAATGTGGGAACCAGACTTTTGGCATGACGATAGAACAAGCTATCACTTGATACAAAACATTTTAGTTTGCCTCTGAGACAGGAGACAATAGACAATAAAACAGGAGTAGGCTTTGAAAAGTGCACCTCTGGGATGAGCTGGGATGGTCTCTGTTGCCGTTTATTATAAAACAGTCATGCGTTCTGGGAACCATTTGCCATGATGATAGTACAAACCAGTTGATAGGGACAAGTCTAGTTTACCACTCAGACACGTTACATTAATATTAGAATACTCCGCCGAGCTCCTTAATATAATCAGGGACCATTTTCCATTTTCTATCACCTTCAAATCGGTTATAATATGAGTCCAGTACTGAACCCACTTTTTACAATCGTGTGTATATAGAGATTAGCTTGATATCGTTTTTATTCATGAGTTTCCATATGATGAGTTCAATGAAAACTGGTGCCATCTTTTTTTTTTTTTTTTTTTTTTTTTTTTTGCAGGGCAAGAATGCACATATTCCAAAAACATTGGTGAGGGCTATGGACATCTTTGGACGCATCATAGCAAACACATCGCTCACGAATACCACTATTATAATCGGTAGAAATCTAGCAATAGAAGCAAAGAAGATCGAACCCAACACTGAGGTAGGTGGGGGGGAACTCACTCTTAGCAACGCGTCTTCAAACCTTGAAAATATTTCTTAATCTTGAACGTCGAGTGCATCGACTAAAACAACCACTGGTGTACACACGCAGAGTCAAACAAGCCATCCATATTAGACTCCATCCCAACAACATCAATAGGGATAGCGGAATTGAGATTCCTGAATCGCGGATACCAAACATTCGATAGAACTCCGTTCACGCCCACCACCCGCAGCCAATCACAGCCCCGGCGCGATCCTCAAGGGCGCCATATTGACGGTATATATAAGAAGACCTCCTTCCAGTCTACACCATCGCCTGACGAAGACTAGCAGTAGCAGTCGAAACGACGCGGTCCTCCCAACTACCACAATTGTGAGACAAATAAATAAGTAGAATCTTTGAATTTAAAATATTTCTTCTTCTTCTTCTTCTTCTTCTTCTTTATAGTTTCCTTTAGATGGCGTCAACTTTACTTACAATGAGTCTTCCATATCACTACCTGCCGAGATCTTCGACACTAGCGAGCAAAGCATAGTAGTTAACATCATCTATCTGACGCTGGGAGACATTTTACAGCTGCCGCTTAATTATACAGATCTCAACAGAAAGAGAATGAATGCAGTGAACGTTAGCACTACTACAATATCAAGTACCGTTACCCCGAGGAAGGAAATCAAGACATCCGGTGTCAAAATCATTTTGAAGAATAAAAGATCGTTCCCAGAGGTAACTAGATCTATTACTAATACATATTCATCAATTATGTTAAGTTCTTTTAGATTTTACTTTAATTTTCTGTGGGGTTTTCTAATTCTGTGGTTACCTCATCATTAGTGTCATATACTTCAACTACAGGAATCCCTTACGAGCTTTTTGTTTGAGCTAATTGGTCCTAATTACCTAAATCAATAACATATTTAACACCACTTCAGTTTTTCGTACGTTCGTTATTTATTCAATAAAACTTGAAAAGAAAGAAAGAAAATTCGCGAAGCATTCTGGTAATTAACCTGTCATGACCTATAGGCACCCTGCGCTCCGGCAGGGATTATAGAAATAACCGACTTTATTTTGTCTTCTTTAGTTAAACGATTCATCGTCTCGCATCTGTGTGTCCTGGAACCCTGAAAGTAGTTATGGCGCATGGTCAGACTATGGTTGTCAGCTGGTCCCTGGTGAATCAGACTCTGAGAAGACAACATGTGTCTGTAGTCATCTTACTTTATTTGCCACGTTCATGGATCCTCATCAGATACCGGTAACTAATCTGTGCTAAGGGTTCATAGATTTGTTTATGGCTATGCTCAAAATGCTACTTGCTAAACATTGCTCCTTACCCTAGCCTGCTGTGCAGACGTTTTTAGTGTCGGCTCGTTCCTTTCCCTCCCCACAAACGTCTGCTCAAACTAGCCTTAACTATCCTTACCTAGGTTCTATTATAAAATCTCATATGCATATTTCTTGATAGAGATATTTTACTTGGCCCGTGAAAGAATAGTCAACGTAATACACAGTCGTAGACACTAATTCCATTGTTTGTTTGTTTGTTGTTGTTGTTGTTGTTTTTTGTTTTTGTTTTTGTTTGTTTGTTTGTTTGTTTGTTTGTTTGTTTGTTTGTTTGTTTGTTTGTTTTTACTTTATCTCTTAGCAACCAATTATACAATTTTGTTTCACGGGCGCCAAGTAAAATCGCTCTAATACAACCATATGCACTCGTACAGTCAATACATTTAATAACCCTGTACTGCATTAATATATGTTTAAACGTCGGGACACAATATATAAGCGACAAGAGACAACAACTCCCTTGACGTGACATGACTTTTTTCCAATGAATTCTCGTGAATTCTTTCTGCGACAGAATTTTACCTTTAGCAGTCAACCACTATGCCACCCATGCCACACAGTTCATTTATTCACTATCATCATTATGAGATTTCCCACTGACATCAGTCACATATATGACTGGCCTAACGGTCATTTTAGTGTCGTGTTATTTTCTAGCTATCAAGTAATGACAGATTCATCTTGGAATTCATCTCGACTATCGGATGTGCTATATCTCTGTTCTCCATCGCTTTAACCATGGCTGTTATACTCCCGAACTGGAGAAGGCTCAAGTCGCCAAGAATTGAAGTGTTGGTGAACATCTGCGCGTCCATTGGGATCGTGTGCTTCTTGGTGCTAGTTGAGCACCCGGCGAGACAAAATAAGGTAATATCTATCTCAACTTTGTGTGTAACATTTCTTGCTTTATACTGACGACTTATTGATATCCAGTGGCTTATTTACGAACCTGTGGCTTTCGTTCCATGTAAATTGAAATAGCTCTCACATCTAATGCGTAAGGTGATTCTTGGCAGGATCAATAGATTGTTTCAAATCACATACCAACAAATGTTTGGACATTGATTAGCATGCTTCTATGTTATTCGCAATTTACTCACCATGAAGCTAAGTGTTACTAAACAAAGCTTTATGAAAATAAAAATCAAAGTTCGTGAGCGCTGATGATTGATGTTGACAGGTGATTGATGTTTACTTAGGTGATGTGCAAAGCGATGGCTGTTCTTCTACACTACTTCTTATTAACGGCCTTTGCTTGGATGTTTTGTGAGGGGATCTTGCTGCACATGGTGCTGATAAAAGTGGATATGACTGGTGCTACACGTTACAGCAAGAAACATTTGTATTTAATAGGATGGGGTAAGAGAAAGTGAGAAAGTGCATTCATAAATCGATATAATTTTTTAACCACTTACTCATCCATCCATCCATCCTTCCATCCATCAATCTTTCCATCTATCCATCCTTCCTTCCATCCATCCATCCATCCATCCATCCATCCATCCATCCATCCATCCATCCATCCATCCATCCATCCATCCATCCATCATATCTTCATTTTATGGTTTACCACAGGGTTCCCACTGCTGATCGTCCTCATCTCGCTATGGGCAACTGAATTGAAAGGTTATGGCGACTCTCCTTATGTCTGCTGGCTATCTGTCAAGAATGGTGTGACCTGGGCGTTTGTTGCTCCTGCTCTTGTGGTAATCGGGGTAAGATTCCAGCTATTGACCCTTTTTCAATTTCATCATTCGTTTTCTACATAGCGGCTTGTTTTTGTTTAATTTTAATAAAATAAATTTGTCAATTGTGATGTATGCAATAATAAAGCCCTTAGGGATACGCTTCACAATTATCTAAGCTTCATAAATATTTATAAAAGAATTCGAATAAAACTACGCGCGCCATCTGTGATTGGTCGAAACTCTATGAAAAAAACATGTTTATATTTAAGGAAAGAAAATATGCTTAGCTCAAACGTTTTGTTTATTTTATAAAAGCAGCACTCTGGGAGCTGCTCCAGTTGTCATTAAAAACACACCGCTCCTTCTCGTTTTTCACTATGCCACTAACTGTGAGGTTGGACTTGTTTCATAAACAGGCAAATCTGATGGTGTTGATGAAAATCATTGCTCGTCTGAAAAACTTGCAGAAAATACGAAACAATTCACTGAGAAAACAGGTCGCGACTGGTACCCGGGCCATCGCGGCCACTATGCCCTTGCTAGGAGTCACGTGGTTATTTGGCATGCTTACCTTCCATACCAACCTGACGGTTTTCAAATACTTATTTACTATTTGTAATTCGCTGCAAGGAGTTTTTATCTTCATATTTCATTGTCTTTTAGATCGACAGGTAAGCTTTTATGGCAGCCATGTCAGAAGGCATAACAATTAGAGTGTTTTCCCCTGGGAAACCAAAATGGCGGCTTTCTAGTTTTTTCCTTTAGTAAGACTAAAACTAAAACTTTTTTTTCGTTTTTGGTTCGACGTTTCGGGGGCTCAAACAAAATGGCGGTTTATTTAATTTGGGCCTCCCCCTTCGACACGCTACGCCCCTGGAAGATGAATTCTTAGTCGTGTATAACAGATTACACCAGATTCTCCTGTCTCTTGTCATGGCTGGTATCACGTGATGGTGCTAGGTCTCTATTGGCTGTGTTTTGTTTTAAAAGTTTAGAAACTTAATATTACTGTACAGACAATTGAAAGGGAAGGTCAAGATGACAAAATAGAACGAAGAAATAAAAAGACAGTTTGCTCAATAGTTATGCAAGTGACAAGTTTCTATTTATAACTAAATAGAGCGAACCACCTCCCTATATCACTAGCGCTCTTCATAATGGGCAATTCTACTTGCAAGGGCGTAAGAAATGTTTTCCCGTTTCAGACCAAGTGTCATTCCCTAGAGTACCAATTCTTTGTATAACGGTTGCTCATAAGAAGATACATCAAAAAGGATAAAACCCATAAAAAATACTATTTCCAAGGTGTCTGAAATGCGACTGAAAAATTACGCCAAACTGGATTTAGTCTATTCACTATTTGTAGGTCGCAAAGGTACTGGTAACTATCAGTTTTCCTTTTAATTCACTTCATATTTTTATTGTAGGTTCGAAAGGTTTTCAAGTCCTCTCTTCGGCGGTCAAAGCGTCGCACGGGGCCTCAGCCTCCCGTGATTCAAATGAAGCCATACAAACCATACATTATCAATACTCCTCAAGGTAAGCAAGGAGCAAGACTTGCGATGAAATACCGCTGTGCTCTTCGACTACTGACTCATACGTCAGCACATCAAGTAAATCTCGTGCATTGGTGAAATTGTAAAATGACGTAATGATGTTTTATTCTGATTATTATTCACAGAACCGAACCGTCACAAGGAAAGACGAAAAGCTTGTATTAATAACGTTGGCATTTTTTGATAATTAGTTTTTCATTTATAAAAAAAAGCGAATATTTTTGACGATAAATATAGACTCAGCAAAACGACTGACTCATCTATTAATATAGAACTACCTTGTTATTTATTGATGGCTTTTAAGACTCCAACAATTTATATGACATTTACTAGAAAGAAAAAGCCACTGCTAAGCTATAAAACTGTGAGTTGGTATTCAGCGTAAAAAGCGCGCGAACTATTGACGCGCGTGCATTCGAAATGACGTCAGTGAGATTGCTTTATAATATCGATAGAGCAACTATCATAAATGTACAACCTGCCCTCAAGCTATCACGTAAAGAGAAAGATATATTTTCGTAATAGCTAGAACTATCAAAATTAAGGATTCATAAAACTTGATTGTTGCTTTTATCACAGCATTTTCCTCTAGAAGGCAAAGAGAGGCCTGGTAAAAACGCTTTCTTTGTGTAAGCACGTCTCGGAGTATTTATTTATATCATGTTAAGTGGATTGAATTAAACCATGAATTAACATTTGAAAGTTTGGTGTTTGTCTCACGGATATTTGAAAACTGAACTAGCTGGTAGCTAAAATCAAAAATTAATAAATAAATTGGATAAATTAGCTTTGCCACGAGTGACTCTTCCTTCTTCCGATGAAAATTTTCAATTGGAATTAAGAATTCGATTTTTGCCGGAGAAAACCGGGGAAAACCGGGGAATTCCGGGGAAAAACACTCGAAGGAGAGAACCTACAGGCTACTCTATACCCACATACGGCATCAAGGCCGGAGGAAACTAGTTTAAAATAGGCTCCGTTTGATATCCAGAACAACCCTAAAGCTATACAAGAACACGTCCTCTAAATCAAAAGAGCTAAAAGGTATGTAATATGAGCTATTAGTACGAAATATGATTATAGGTACCCTAGGTAACTAGCAGATGGCTAGATGTATAAAAATAACGGGCGGTAAGTGGCAATATACTATCAACACATTACTACAAGTGCTGCTAACGACAATTGAATATAGAATATAATATACAAGTAGGAGGTAATAACTGGGGCTATTATTGGAAACCAAAAAAATAGACCACTTTACCTAGCCTTGAGAGTAATGTTTTCCCTTTTCCGGCAACCTTGAGAATAAGGTTTGAGAATAAGAGTTGTATCCATATTCATGTGTCTTTTCTGATTCGAAGCTGTCAAACAAATAAATGATACTCCAGGGATTCAGTTGGTACGTGGTCGGAAATGGGAAAACATTAAACCCAAGGTAAAGAGGTCTATTGCTGCAAAGCAAAAATTGGGTCAAAAATAAAGATAGACAGGAAAGTAAATAGACGGCAAAAAAAATACAAATCTCCGTGCGCGCTTGAAAGGTAAGTTGCATGACTTTATTTATTTACACTTATTTCAATAAAGTTAGTCACCTGAAAAGCTACAAAGCTGAGACCGACAAGGATTATGGGTAGTTACATTTTACATGTTTCAACCGCTTGATAACTATTGATGGACTTGAGATCTTCTACCAGTTCTATGGTCRAACACTATATAGCTTTTGGATGTATGGACAGTAGTTTGAAGTAGTTTTTCATGTTATTTTCACATGTGAAAATATCGTTACCATGTGTATTTAAGCTATTAGTTCATAAATAAAGAGTTTTTATATCCTCTATATTATCAATTTTTTTCCTAGCATATTTAAATATGATATAGTGAGTTTTCTTGAGATTGATTGTTAATCTATTGATTATTCAGTAGTTTTGCACCAGACCAAGCTCATAATTAATAATATTTTCCATTATCAGAGCATCTTTATGAGAGTAAAAGATATTGCTATCATCAGCAAACATTCTAAAGCTTAGTTTATCTGATGAGTTTGTAAGATCATTGATGTARAGAAGGAACAATAAAGGACCAAGAGTCCTACCTTGCGGCACACCATATTTCATTTTTCTAAGATCTGAAGTTACATCATTAATTCGAACATATTTTTTTCAATTGGTTAATTTACTGAACCACTTTAGTGCTAACCCTCTAATGCCATTTTTATGAAGTTTTAAAAGGAGTATATTATGGTCAACTGTATCGAATGCTTTTCAAAAATCCATAAAGATACCACAGGTAAATACTTTATTGTCTTTGGACTATTTAAAAGTATTGGTCAACTCAAGGATGGCTCGTACTGTTGAATGATTTTTTTCTAAAGCCAAATTGAAATTTATGACTTATTGATCGTAAATTATTCGTTCAAGAATTTTATTTAAAGATGGTAAAATAGCTATTGGTGTGTAGTTAGATGGGTCTGTGAAGTCTCCACTTTTATATACTGGTGTTACTCTGGCAATCTTAAATATGTCAGGAACAGTTCCCTGTTCTATACACCGAATCGAAATATGGCGACCAATTTGAATAACTATTGTTCTGCACTGACTAGCGACTGACTAGCCTCGTGTTCACGTGGAAACATAAAAGCATTTTCACATGTATGAGAGGCTAGTCGGTCGCTAGTCAGTGCAGAACAATAGTTATTCAAATTGGTTGCCATATTTCGATTCGGTGTATAGATTCATTTACTAGGTATGTAATAAGATCTGCCAATTGCTCATTAGCCAATTTGATTAAGTGAAATGGTATATTGYCTGAAGATGAATTATTAGCATCAAGGGACTTAAGCCTATGGGGAGTGACTTCTATTTTTGATACTGGAGATAAATAAAAAGTAGATATAGGTGTAGATGTTATGTATTTTGTAGCATCCTCACCAGTGTCCGCTATTTTACTAGCTAATTTTGAGCCAATGTTAGTGAAATATTCATTGAACTGATCAGCTATTCGTTTTTTGTCATCAATAACAATGCCGTCAATAACTAACTTATTAGGGAATATCCAGCTTTTATTTTCCTCTTTACAATTTGACTAATCAATTTCCAAGTTTTTTTTAGGTTGGTTTTATAGTTTTCAAACTGTTGTGTAAGAAATAATTTCTTTTTTTTTGTTTTGTTTTTTGTTTTTTTGTTTTATGATATATTGTTAAGTAAATTTGAATAGTTTTTGTATTCTACTAGTTTTGTAGCATCATTTGGGTACTTTCGTAAATTGTGATGCATTTTTGTTTTGCTTTAATGGATTTGAGTATTCCAACAGTTAACCAAGGTTTTCTAAGAATTTTTGTTTTTCTCCTTGATTAAAATTTCAAAGGAGCATGCGTATCAATTACTTTTTGAAGAGAACCTATTATATTTGCGGTTGAAGCATTCAAGTTATGCATTCAAGCATTCAAGTTCCTCTATAAAATTAGATATTATTCCCTAAACATGCAACTCAAGGTGTTTTAGATTCCAAACAAGAGAAATTTAGAAGATTTTTTCATGCTCTCTGATATTGAATTTGTTTGTTTTTCTTTCTTTTTGTTGAAAATAAAATATGATAAGCGAAGGCTATTTTAAACAAAAAAACCTACACACCCATTTTTGTCTCGTTTTTTAAAAGACTAGAATAGCCTTTGTGTATTATATTTTATTTTCAATTCGATATGACCTTTAAATTCAAAGAAAGCCCATATAAAAGAATTTGTTTTATGAGTTAATGAACTAAGATGGACGTTTTTCAATAATAGCTGCTTCAATACGGTTCGTCGACAGGTAAGCCAACGTCGTGATCTTGGCTTTTAATATTGATATTTCTTCCGGAATCTTAAGGCAAACTATTTTAAGATTCTTACAATCTTTTGAGTAAAAGTAGTCAAAATTAGTTGGATATTTACGTTAGATGCTTCCTTCCTCCCAGACGGTTAAAAATCCTGCGATTAAGCGAAACCATTATGATATAAGAAACTACAAGCGCCCTCTTCTTCCGTTAATTTGACTGTTCTAAAAATAGAGCTTCTTCTAACGCGTGCTCTAAAACACCTAGTGATTCTAAAAACGTCTCGGCCTTCGGGTGCTCATCGTTAGTTTTTCGACACACGCCGTCATTAAATCGGAAATTGTGCATATATTATTACATTAATTTCATTAATGCTTTAGTTTCCGGATTTTTATCACTCGCTCTTCGGTATATACACATTTTGAGCAAAACAGGGCGAAACGGAGGCCAACCAACAAGCTACAGAGCGCGAATTCATCCGAACGATTACCGAGTATGCGCAGTACGTGTTATTCCATTGCCAGTTTTGACCAGGACATTTTCCTCAAATTTCCATTGTAATACGAAGTATTGTTTAAAGTAGACACCCCCCTCGAGTAACTGGCGAGAGCAATGCTGATTAGGATGATAAAATGTAACTTCAACCACTTCAACCTATGAGTAATTCAGGTGTCCATTTTCCTAGCATCCACTCCCCATTAATCTATTAGCCGCGTGAGGTACAGTGATGTTTGTTATTTATGGGGCGAACCGTTACAAACAACCTTAATCCGCATCCGAGGGTGCAATATTTTCTCAAATGGATCGTCCCGTGAATTCATTATGACAATAGCCGCCATTTTGGATTAACATCAACTACCATGGCGGGCCATTTGTTTTTTRGTTTAGACAAAATTTTCTAAATATTTTCTTTGTTTTGATCAAATAAAAATAGAGTACGTCTTAAGATTTAAACCCCAAGTACATCATCCCCGTATTCATATTTGCCCAAACAAGCTCTACATCAATAAATGATGGTAAAATGGATGATTGAAAACAAACTTGAATCACATTGATGTTTAAAGTGTGTATCTTTTATTTATTAACGTAGTTTTTGACCAATATTCTTGCTAGTTTTTGCTTGTTGTTTTAGCCATGTTAGTATCAACAGCTGTTTGTTTGTTGACAAGTTAAAAAAATGAATGTTTATGAGTAAAGAAACCTGAGCAAAAAGCCTTGAGAAGAGTAATCTGGTTTCATTTGAATCTGGTGTTTAGATGGCATATTTCTGACATGCAGACGGACAGCTCAGTTCATTGATTGGATTCAGTTCTTTTCAACCTGCTTCCAGATGGCGGTCGATAATAAAAGTAAGATAAGTTAAAAAATCTTGCTTGAAAAAATTACTTATCAGTAATGATGCTTAAGGCAACACGATACCACTCGCAGAAAATTCAGACCGAGTCCCCTTACCAGGCTCCCGTTGACAAAGTGACGTCATACAGGCTAGGAACACGTAATGAAATCAACGAAAACTGAAGCGTGAGAAACAACTGCTCTAAAAGCACATCTACAGACTTACAGACTTGTGTTAATATAGCAATTCGAAAAGTCCCTCTGGTCCTGATGACACTTAGATTTCAATTTCTGTGGATTTTTTTTGTGTCTATGACCAGAGAAGCAGTATCATATGGTGAGTATCTATCTACCTTTACAGTACAGTAGCTTAAAGTGTATGTGTGTGAAGTTAAGTTCTTAGTCTTTTATGAGACATGGCTGTGGAAAAGAATGAAAGAGTTTCATTTTGAAAATCAGATAGAAACATTAACTCCAATAATTGTTCTTGTCGCCGATATGTCCTTCTACTTCTGACATCCTATTTCTTGTGGTCATTGGCAAGGCCATAAATCTATAGAGTAATAGTACCCGACGATTTTTTTTTTTTTTTTTTNTTTTTTTTTTTTTTTTTTTTTTTTTTTTTTTTTTTCAATTTTCCCTATCGAATTACTAAGAAGGTTATGCATTCATACGAAATTAAATGGAAATATAGATAGTTGTTTATTATTCAGGAGAAAGCCTGAAGCGAATAGAAATATCCTGCGATAGTCAGGTAACTCTAGGTTATTTAGTACCGGTAAAAATCCGGTTTTGGACACAAGTTGGAATAAAAACATTCTTTTCAAAGTCTTTTTTTAGGAAAGGTAATATCCGTTGGAGTTATTAGACATTTTTGGGGTGTAGTTTGGGTGGATATATTTTATTGTTTTTTGTATTTTGTCTCAGTTGCCCTGACGGGCTCGATAAAACACTGCAGACTCGAAAAAAATATCCACCCAAAAGAAATGTTTAGTAATATAGGAGATTAAAATTGAGTAGCGAATGAAAACATCTTTCGTTAGGTCGGAAATGCTTTTCAAGTGGCACTGCTTGAATGGGATTCGTGGTTCTAAATATCGTGTGGTGTTTTGGTGAAAGATAGCACGCGAGATGAACACAGCGAGTGCGGAAGTTAATGTACCGTCTCTGAGACGCTGGCAAATCAAGATAAAGATTGATTTAATTGATAGTCTCAGAAACTACAGCTTGAGAACTTAGTCAGGTGGAATCTTGCTCTAAAACCGGGAAAAAACTGGTTTAACAAGTATTGCTTCGAACTGAGAATGATCCAAGAAAACACGTGACAACAGAAAAGGGCTTGGAAAGTTACTAAACGAATGGCGATGAAGAGAAAATCCTGGCAGACCAATATTAGCCTTGTCAACCTTCTTATTGATGGCTTTTTATGGAGCGCATTAAAGTTGTATAGATGTACCTTAAGGTCGAACTCAAATAGGGATCAATCTTCTTCCAGACTTTAATAGCATGTGATTTCTTTTTAATAACATAAAATGTCTTTTATCGAAATTCTATTAGTGAGGGATCGATAAGATCAAAAATAGATTCAACGCATTGCCTATTGCATACAATGAGTTGACTGGATAATACAGATTGGAACGCATAGTCAAGATGTATTACATAAATCTTTTGGTTTTCTTAAGCCGGATTTTATATTCAGTGCACTGTTATTAATCTACGGGCGAAATATTTTGTTTAAGAAACAGTGAGTTTTCATCCTCGTGTTTTGATTTGAAATATAGCGATTGCAGAGCGACTTAGTATGAAAGTATGATGTAACCTACTCTAAGATTTCAAAACATCCGTGTAAGATAGCCTGAGGGAGATAAATGAGAGGGTTATTACAAAAAATACAAACAACAAGTCCATTGTACCCAAACTCTATACATACTGCCATACTTAAGAGGCTGTCTCTGTAAGAACCTCATTAACCATGTTGGGTGAAAAAAAAAACAGATTTCTTTCAGACTTTGTGTGTGAGTGTGCCCTTCCAAGGTTATTTCCAAAACACATTTTGTTTTGTGTCTCGGCGCTTTTTTGCAAAGTTTCAGGGGGGTCCCCAAGGGGCCAAATTAGTGATTTTGACTACTTCTCATTCATGAAATTCTGGCGATGTTTAAAAATTCGTATATCCATAACAAATCATCACAACACTAAATCCTTCCATATTATAGTAGATATATATCTTATACAAAGACGAGTAGCCTTAAAGTTAAACATGAACTTATTTATATTTAGATATTTCAATTTTACCGACCATCGATAATCGACTTTGGCCAGTTGCCTAAAATATTAGTGTTGAAGTAATCTTTGTAATACAAAGAAACTACTAGATTCTGATTGGACAAGAGGAGTACATCCCAAATCGTACTCTCTAGAGTCTCAATTAAAAATTACTCAATTTTTTGAGTGTTCAATAAACAAACTGAAAAATCGCACAATCTTCTCCTACAATTCGGAATTTATAGATACGCATGATGTTTTGAAAGTTCTCAAATTAGATGAGCCTTTAAAAACATCACTCGTACCTATAAATTCCGAACCGTGCTCGAGATCGTGCGATTTCTTACATACCAAAAACAAACAAAAAGACAGAAAGGAGTTTGGTTTATGACGCTTTAGCTAAGAGGATCCTCTTTTGTTGACTAGAAGTATGTTTGCTGTCTTACGGATGCTTTGGAACTGATCCCAGTTGCACAATACCATCTGTCAGGTTACGGTGCTTTCTATATACACAATATGATGTATTTTTTATTTGAAAACCAAAAATGAAAAGCCCATTTTAAAATAGACACCTATGACGTGATAGCTGCCAGATCTGACGATTATCCAATTCTGTCATATTTATCAAAGGGAACCGGTTTATTTCATCGTTTTCTGCTCCATGGAAGGATTCTGTCTATCACCTGGATTTGGATGAGGATGGATTTTTTTTTTCATTGGACCGGCATACACACTTCCCACCAACGTCACACAGCCTGATTTCTCATCGATCATAGCATTTTATATAAGCAGAAAAGACTTTCAAGTTTCTTCGAGAAGTGAATGTGAAATCTTGCCAGGTGTCTTAGAGATTGGTATCTTGATAATTTGTTTACAAAAAGTTATGTTATTCAAATTATCATCGTTCAGTTTTCCTGTACTTTTTCTTTTTCAGTTCTGCTGTACTTATTGTCTTTTTTTTTTCCCCGCCTATTTTATAATCTTTTCACACGTACAATCACTAGAAAGACTTTCTTTGAGCCATTTCACCAATCGTTTCCATTTTTAGTGGGTCATACATCTTTGAGGCTCAAGTTTGGTTTAAAAAATGGTTTTAATTTGTTTTTTCTGTGTGGTTTGTATTAAAGCAAGACCAGATTGGGCATAATGAATTGACAGTGACCTTGAATCAACCTTGCCGATCTTGTGTTGCTTTCCTCATCTATTACAAATAGCTTGTCGCCATGGTAACGTTGTTAAGTTGAACCTATCCGAACGGTTTAGAGATTTGGTGTCTTCAAGAAATATTTGCCAACCTTAGAGGTATTGAATAGCAGGTCCAGTATTTCGTAAAAGGTCATTCAAACAATGGAATAAGTGGCTACTTCTGTGAACATGTATAAAGTGGTCATTATTTCTTTCATACGCCAAGTGAAAATGAAATCACTCTTAGATTCCCGCATTAAATCTGCTGAGTGATATTAGAACCAAGCCTAGCTTCAATAGACCCTTTCAGCTTCGTGGTCACGTGGTCTGAAATGGGTAAACAAAATGAAATCCAATATGGCGGACACTGGTGTGGTTTGGCGAAAATCACTTTCATTTTTACCTGAAATTTCGTATCCAAATGTACTTGAGCACTTAAAAGGCTGTGGTAAAAAGAACATTGGTGAAAAAGGATACAAATTCTTTGCCGAAGCTTATATTCACGATGTACATGTTGCCAAAATGCCAGGAAGTATTCATACGACGAAAGTCAAGGCACAGTGCTATCGAAGCCAGAGGAAAACGGAATCCCCGCATTCAATGGAGCTAGAAGTTGGGACTGAAGATAAAAAAACTAAAATAATCAAAGCCAAATGTTCGTGCAAAGCCGGGTAAGAGCCACGTGAATTTCTGTGTTAAGTTTTAAATTGTTTCAATTTATTCAATGTTTCCATACTGTGGCAAATGAAGCGATCGGCATACTATAAGTTCAGTGCCGAAGTTTATCCGATATTTATTGATCAATACGATGAGTAATATCGATTTTTTGTTTTGTTCACAAGGAATGGAGGACACTGTAATCACTTATTTGGATTATTRTATACGCTGAATCACTGGTTTATGTTAAATCTCAATGAGATTCCAGCAGACAAAACATGCACAAGTATGCCACAGACTTGGCATAAGCCTAGGGGTCCGCAAATTCAACCTGAACCAGTTATGAGCTGCTTTTTTG